AGTTCCCAAGGTTGAGAAACACTGCTATAGATTATTATTTTAGAAGATTTGATCTCCTGGTGAGGAGATGACGATGCGGCTTGGAATCAACCGAGCAACCCCTGCAAGACCCTCAACAAGTCTTCTGCGCGGCGCTGCAACGTTTTCTTCAACCCTGCTGAACAAACCATTTCTTCCTTTGCAGAGCGAAAGCTACAACGGGATGGTGATGGGCTAGGGGGTCAGGTAGCAAGAGTAAAAGAGGGGCATTACCTTGGCTGGCAACAAATCCATCTTTGTAAGGCATCAGTGAAAGGACGGGGGCACCTGATCTGTGGATCACTCGAACGGGAGCTCTGGAAAAGGCAGCAAGAATCCAGACTTTACGGCAAAGAAATCTTCACCTTTGCCCCACGGGTTGGAATTCTCTTTTTTGTGAACCGGCTGCTTCCCTGAGCATAGCGTCTGTCTCCTCGCGCACAGTGCGGGAGCTACACGGGACATGGTAGCTGGGCTGCTCCGGCCATTTAAAAGCAGCCTGTAATCTGACTCACTTGGTATTTCTGACATCCAGCTGGTATATATTCCCATCTTGCGTCCCGCCCAGGAGATACACGTTCGAGAGGAAGGCGCAGCAGTTGAAAGCATCAGAACCTATAAAAAGAAAAACCTAAGGAGGGAATCAGAGAAAAAAAGTGGCTTGAAATCTCATTTCTGTACTCCAATTTCCATGGATATAAAAGGTAATGTTTCTGGCACGTCCAGTTCACCTCCTGAGGACTTCTTGGACCTCTCCCTCTAGCTCTCCTGCCAACAGTAGGGAAATTGTTTGTCACCACCTTCATGGATTTCTTTTTGGACTTCCCAGTCCCGAGGCCGGGGTGGTCTCCCATCCAGCTATCAACCAGGCCTGGCCTGGCTTAGCATTGCGAGATCCAGCAAGATCAGCCAGGGACTGACCTCGAGGCCATGGATGAGAGAAGGAAAAAAAATACTACTAGGGGAGAAAAGGGAATTAGAATTTCCCTTAAAAAAAAGGAAGGATCTTGCATGGAAAGTAAATCAAAAGGGTTTACAACAAAAGGGAAACCAGCTCTTCCCACAAAGGGTGCTGTGTCCTAACCTGACAGATCGTATGGAATGCTCACCCAAGCTGCTTGGAAGCCCAACGGTCACCTCCCCTTCGAGATCCATTGGCAATCAAAAGGCCACCGAGGCAAAGGAAGGAAATTGGCCCCGTTACCCCCGGTGCAGAAGAAATCTTACCGGCTGCCTGCTTTGTAACCCCACGCCTTGCAGCTTTTTGTCCTCCCGAGCCAACAGCAAAAGCTTTCCTTCCGTGCCAACCTCCCGTTCACCTGTATGGGAAGGAGACCTTCTTAGAATTGGCCCCTGTTCAAGCACAGAGTTGCTGAAGGGAAGAAGTAAGGCAAAAAGGGGGGCGATGGGATAGTAACCCCTGCATTTTCAGGCTGATGTTGGTGTAAAAAGAGGCCATCTAGGTAAAGGGGAACTGAGCCCACTCCCATCTTGCCCCTCCTCCCTCCAGCATCCCGGATCCCTTTTCCTGAGCACACATGTGTTCCCATCGTGCTATGCCTCTTTGGGGAAAGCAACATGATGCAAAGCACAGGGGAGGAATAAGAAAGAATTAGCCAAAGAAATGACTGTCTTAAGAAAGGAAAAAACAGCTAAAAGTAGTTTATACCAGCATTGCTCACTCTACCCTTCATGATAGTCTAGCTCGGTGTTTTTCAACCTCAGCAACTTTAAGATGTGTGGGAGTCAAAGTTCACACACCTTAAAGTCCACACATCTTAAAGCTCAGCCACGCATCTTTGTTTCCAAAATATCCACACACAGCTCCATATGTTGCTTTTTGTCCTTTACATTTCTCACACCTCTCTTTTGAGGATCTCCTCAACCCCATCCAACCACGACTTCCTCAGTCTTCTTCTCGACCCGTCCCCTCTTCCTTCACAGAACTCTTCTGAGAGATGATCCTCCTTCCTTCTCTTGATATGACCAAGCCCCCTCAGTGTATTTCCCACTGGTGTAACTCCTCACACTTCTATCGCACTCTGACGTTATTTTTTTCCCTCTGTCCCAAGCAGGTTCCATCATCTTTATGTCCACTCTGCTCGTCCTCTTGGGAGATTAATCTGTTAATGCTTTTTCGTACAGGACTCCCTCTTCCTATTCTATATGCACAAAGAATTTACACACAAGGTGGAACCAAGTTTCTTTCCTGGTGGGGTTTCTAGCCTGATTGTGGAGGAGATGTGAAGAGCTTTGTCCTGCTTTTATAAGATGAACCTGTTGCAATATAATTACTTACTGGGAACATTTTCAGGGGAGCCCAAGTTTAAGGAGTTGTCTGTTTCATTCAGGGCAATCCCATTGACTGGAGACCCACAATCGGCCACAGTTCCCAGGCAAGTTGATCGACCGCAATCCCAAAGGCACGCTGTGCCATCCCGGGAGCTGGAGACCACGTTCCTACCCCGCTCCACAATGGCCGTGTCCAGGATTCCTAGCGCAACATAAAAGATAAATGTTTAACGACTGGCTCTGCCAGCTCCATTGCCACCACCGTGCCACACCACCGAACAGCTGATGGTGCACTAGGTGCCAGGGCTCAGCTCTGCTTTCAAACGGTTCTCCAAATTCCCCAAAATGTAACAATCGCCTCTCATGAGCCAGTATGAGCCAGCTCCAGCATGCTACAGGTATTCCTCACTTAATGACCACAACTGGGACTGTAATTTAGGTTGCTAAGTGATGCTGTCATTAAGTGAATCATCACAGGACCGCACCCAATTTTACAACCTTTTTGTAAAGTCATTAAGTGAATCACACGGTTCCCCGTTGTTTTTCCTGGCTCCAAGCCAGCTGGGAAGGTCGCAAATAGTGATCACATGACTGAGGGAAGCTGCAACCCTTATAAGTGCAAGCTGGTTGCCAAGCGCCCAGATCGCGATCACATGACTGCAGGGGCGCTGCAACGGTTATAACTTTGGGCACCGGTCATAAGTCACTATTATTAGTGCTGTCGTAACTTCGAATGGTTGCTAATGAATGGTGTTAGGGCACAGGAAGAGAGCAATTTTAATGTCCTCTCCTGCACTCTGTGATAAAGTCTTTGTTTGTTTCTGCTATTTATACAGCTGCCCAACTCACATATATGACTCTGGACGGCTCACAACAGTTAAAACCCAACCCAAAACAGTAAACAAAATACGATATCAAAACACATAAAAACATATAAAGACCACGTTAAAGACCATATTAAAAACCATAAAACATTCTCAACATTCAAAATAGCCACGTCTTCAAAGCCTATGAAATGCCAGAAGGGTCGGGGCCAATTTAAACTCCGGTGGTGGGGGGGTACGCTGGCAGAATTTTGCTCTCGTTTGCCTTGATCACCAATCCAGCAGGTGGCACTCTCCCAGTGGCTGACTGGACAGCAAGTAATCATGCGGGGATCAATGAAGCCCCCTGCTGGTAGGGAACACATCTGTCAATCCCTGCCCCTAACTTGGAGTGGGCCTGGGGCTGGGGCTGGGGCAGGGCTGGGGGAGGTGACGGGTTTTGACAGACGGCCCAACCAGCAGGGTTATCCATCTGTGAACCTTCTGCAGTAATGCTTCCTCCTTTTGGCAGCCAGATTGCCAGATCCACGCAGAAGCAAAGGCCCGGACAGGCGCCTGAAGTTCAGGTCTACCTTTTTCTCTAGCGCTTTCAGAGTTGTTAATCCTCACTTGGCATCAGAGCAATCCAGCAGCACGTATCAAAATGGCACTGGAAGGGAGCTGGCAGCTTTTCCCCCTATTATTTTTGTCAGATTGTGTAATGGTTATGTGGGAATGACCTTGGGGGACAGGAGGAAGAGCCACAGACTAAGTAATGGTCAGATAAGAGGGTGCCGAGTCTGGAGAAGGAATGAGGATGGGGAAAAGGTTTCAGAAGAGACCCTCCCCAGTTTCTTGGGCTGTAAAGGTGAGGAGGGGGGAGAAGTACTTTCAGACTTGCAGGATTCTGTTAATGGAGCCTCACAATCAAGTCAGAGCTAGTCTTCCAGATGTGCTTCCTATCTGGACTACCTTGCAAGGCTGACAGATGGACCCACGCATGACTGAGATGCAGCTCCTGTGGCTTCAGCCGTCCACGCGGCTGGCACCATTGAGCTCAACAGCTCCTGCCACTGGTCTAACTCCAGCTGTCCCTTCTCTGTACCTGCTTTGTGCCCTTGAAAGGTTGCGACGCAGCTGCCGTCTTCTGCAGACCAGATCTTCAGCCTGGCGTCCATCCCGCCGCTCAGCACCACAATGCCCGAGGGGAAAAATCGACAGCAATTCACATCGTACACGTGGCCTTCCAAATTCCTCTGAAAAGACAAGGAGTTGGGCACCAGTTCTCTTTGTCAACAGACGGCTTGTTTGCTAGGAAACATCTACTGATCAGCCAAATGCTGATTGGTTCGCCAAAAGCATAAACGAGATGTTTTCTATAACGATAAGCATCAGTGACTTAATCTTTAATTTTAATTAATTTAATTCAATAACCTTTTTATTTCTTAGAAGAAATCACGATGGGGGTTTCTGCCATGACCAGGCAAATCAAATCAAAGCTCACTGTCCAAATGAGATGCAGCTACATTTCCGATCTTCCGGGTGCTCTAGACTTAGTTCTCACCAAAATGTGAGACGGACGCTCATGTCAGACTAAAGATAAATGCACGCGTTGTGGAGTTTCTACAAAAAGATATAATTGCTGCCCATTGGAAACCAGCATGCCAGGAAGAATTGCTTTAGCTCATTGGTTCTCAACGGGGGCGGTACCACCCCCGGGGGGCGGTGGGATGATGCTGAGGGGCGGTGAACTTGTTTTGGCATTCGAACTTAATTTTAAAACTCCCCCAAAAATTTATTAAATCGATTATCCG